GAAGGCCCTGTCCCTGTCCCCAGTCCCGGTGATGCAGCATGAAGGCCCTGTCCCCGTCCCCAGTCCCAGTGGTGCAGCATGAAGGCTATGTCCCTGTCCCCAGTCCCGGTGATGCAGCATGAAGGCCCTGTTCCTGTCCCCAGCTCCAGTGGCACGGTATGCAGGTCCTCCCCTATCCCTAGTCCCAGTGGTGCAGCATGCAGGCCCTGTCCCCAGCTCCAGCGTTTTCAGGCAGAGACAGCAGGACCAGGACCAGGAAATACTTAGACATGAGGAATGATACCACAACATCCCACCAGCACCTCCTGTGCAAGTCTTTCTATGCCTCTGAAGTGCGTGAGACTATTCACGAAGACAGTTATTCTACATCTTCTAATGGGTGTACTGCACCAAGGTGAGGAATGATTTTCAAATCAAAATAACCTTGAGACTGGAAAAAAGAGGGCTTCTATCCCAGATTAAAAACCCAGACAGAAAAACAGCCAGGGGCCTGAGGCCTGCAGGAAGAACTGCAATAAAGAGGACAGGTGAGAAGCCCTTCGGCCTTTTGGTAGATGAGAATTAGTAGGCGAGCAGGTGAAGCATTCTCCTGGCACTATAGGACACTCTGTCCACACACACTGAATTGTTTGGGCTAGACAACTCCAGCAGCACCTGACTGGATCATTACATCCGTGTGGTAGTCAGCCTTCAAGATGGCCTCCAGTGATCCTCACCTCAGGTACTCATACCCTTTGTTGTCTCCTTCCACACTGAATCAGAGCTGTTCTGTGTGGTGATACAGTATGGCAGAAAGGATGGTGCGCGACCTCATAAAAACTCATTACACTTCTGCCATGGTCTCTTGGATCACTCACTCTGAGAAAAGCCAACCGCCATGTCATGAGGATACTCAAGAAGCTCTGTGGAGAGACCCACCTGGAGAGAAAACAAGGCCTCCCATCAACAGTCAGCACCAACCTGCCAGCATGAGTGAGCCACCTTGGAAGAAGGTCCCCCAGCCCAAGTCAAGCCTTCAGATGACCACAGTCTGATGAGACACCCTGAGCCAGAATGCCTATGCAAGCTGTACTCAAAATCCTGATCCACAGAAACCATGAGAGATAGGAGATGTATACTGTTTAATGCACTGAGATCTGGGGTGGTTTGTTATGCAGAAGTAGATGACTAATGTAATGGTTAGTGGAAGGATGATACTGGTGTCACACGCTTATGGTGGGTGGCCTACTCTGTCACACAGAGCCATGGGCCATTGACGGGCAAAAACATAAAATAAGTGGGGGGTTCAAAGGACTTCTAAATTGTCTTCTTGCAATAACATATTTAAGGGAAAACCAGCTAAATATATTTGTGTGTATATGTCGATACATCAGCATGTATGAGTTCTCAGGAGCCAGTCAAAGGTGAGGGATGCCTGTGCCAAGTGGCATTGTCATTTTTAAGGTTCTCAGCATATACTGCCAAATCACGTTAGAAAAATTACACCAATTAACACTCTTGTCAACAGCATATCAGAGAGCCATTTAACTGAGGTCTTCCTAGCATTGAGTGTCATCTTTAAAAAAAAAATCTTGCTTATTGATGGGTTTAAGGAAGTGATAATTCATCCTTATATAAACTGGCCAATTATGAGTTGGCTGTTGGAGTCCTATCACAAAACATAAGAGTATTTTGCCCCTCCGATTTGCATTCCCAGAAGGAGAAATCTGAGTACTCAGGGAGCAGAGCTGGCCCAGATGTGTTGAGCTGGGAGCCTGCCCACCTGGGCACTTCCCACTAAAGAAGAACCAGTGTCTTGCTCGTGTAGGAGGGCTGTCATATGCAAAGGCACTCTAGCTGCCACAGTGCATTTGGTGCTGTTCCAAGTGCTTTACACACGCCCACGATAATCAGGGAGAAAGGCACATTTTTATCTCCATTTTACAGACAGAAAATTGAAGCCCCAGAGATGAAGTGACTCACCCCAGCGACACAGCAAGTAAGTGGCGGAGCATCCCTGAAGGAAGCAGAGCCTGTGGCTACCGCCTGGTTTTCAGTGGGGAGGGGAGCACACCCACGGGGTTTGAGTTTTGTTTTTCTTTATTTTATTTTATTGTGTTTTAGGTAAAAGTTTACAGCACAAATTAGTTTCTCATTCAAAAATTTATACACAAATTGTTTCATGACACTGGTTGCAAGCCCTGCAATGTGTCAGCACTCTCCCTCCTTCCCTTCCCACCCTCGGTTCCCCATGTCCATTTATCCAGTTTTCCTGCCCCTTCCTGCCTTCTTGTCTTTGCTTTTTGGGCAGGAGTTGCCCATTTGGTCTTGCATACGTGACCGAACTAAGAACCACGTTCCTCACATGTATTACTGTTTGTTTTATAGGCCTGTCTAATCTTTAGCTGAAAGGTGGACTTAGGGAGTGGCTTCAGTTCTGAGTTAGCAAGGTGTCTGGAGTCTGCTAATCGAAAGGTTGGTGGTTCAAAAACAACAGAGGCTCCATGGGAGAAAGATGTGGCAGACTGCTTCCACAGAGATTTACAGCCTTGGAAACCCTACAGGGCCACTATGAGCTGGAATCAACTCGACAGCAGTGAGTTTTGTTTTAGAGTTTTTTCTGGGGCCATAGTCTCAAGGGTTCCTCCAGCCTCTTTTAGACCAGTAAGTCTGGCCTTTTTTCATTAATTTGAATTTTGTTCTACATTTTTCTCCTGCTCTATCTAGGACCCTCTATTGTGATTCCTCTTAGAGCAGTCCACAGGGTTTGATTTAAAGAGCTGATGTAACAACCTAAAAGTCCATCAACAGTTGAAAGGATAAACAAAATGTGGTACATACATACAATGGACTATTACACAGCCATACAGAGAAATGAAGTCCCGACGCAGGCTACGACATGGATGAACTCTGAAAACATTATGTTGAGTGAAGTCAGTCAGTCACACAAGGACAAATACTGTATGATCCTACTTCAATGAAGTATCTAGAACAGGCAAGTGTACACAGATCAAAGTTTATTAGAGGTTACCAGGGGTAGAAGGAGGGGGAAAGGGAGACTCAGTGCTTAGGAGACACTGAGCTTCTGTTAACGGTGATGGTTGAACAACATGATGAACACAGTTAATGTAAAGAATGCTGAAGTGGCAAATGTTTTGTTACATACATATTACCACAATAAAAAAAAAAGAGCTGATGCAGTAGTTGTGAAGGTGCTTGCTATTCGTGTTATAATAGCCAGGGCTCCAAATGTGATAAGCCGATGAAGAAAACATATACAAGGAGCCACCCCGGGGAACACAGAGAAGGTGCACGGAATCTGAGGTGCTGGAAGGAGTGCCGTCCAGCCCTGACTCCATCATAAATGTTTCCAGCCCCAGACAAGTCACGTTCCCTCTCTGGCACTTACCCTCTCCATCTGTAGTTGGTACAGAACAACATGCTATCAAAGATGACTTTCTGCCATGAAAAAATAAAAAGCAAGAAAAGCCTCGGTGGTGCAGTGGTTAAGAGCTCAGCTGCTAACCAAAAGGTCAGCAGTTCGAATCCACCAGGTGCTCCTTGGAAACCCTATGGGGCAGTTCTACTCTGTGCCATAGGGTCGCTATGAGTCAGAATTGACTGGACGGCAACGGGTTTAAGCAATAAGAAAAGAAAAACCAATAAATCCAAAATTAAATATTAGGTAGCTACTAAAAATTGTGATTTCTGAAAATGTAATATGTGAAAATGCCTATAATATGCAAGGTTAAAAGATCTACAACTCTATGGAAAGTGCAAAACAAACTTCATAAAAGAAAGACATGCCCAGTGGGCAACTGTACTTGAGAACCTGGCACAGGACAGAGGGCTCATCACAAA